TGGCTTGTCTCATGGGGGAAATAAAAAAAAAACGAAGGATGGATCGATGTTTTTTCTAATTCTCATGCAGTGAGCCACGGCTAATCATATTGCTCTGCGCGTGTTGTCCGAGGGAAGGTGTTAGGACGGGCCAGCGGACAGTTTGATCTAAGTCTTTTTCCGGCATTCGGTGGAGATGCAAATTTGAGAATCATTGGATGAAGGCATGGAATGCTAGCAATTGGCAGATGTCGCTGACAATCGGAAATGGAAGGAGGAGAGACAATCACTTGACGAAAAGGGTAAATCAACAGGAGGGGAAAAGGAAAAGGAAAAAAAAAAGAAAAAGAAAAGAAAATGCTGTCGCGGTTACATCCTTCTCTCACCCTCGGGACGCTAGTTCCATTCGGGCCAAAATCAGAGAGATGATGGAGATGGAGATGGAGACGCGGAGAGAGAGGGTGATATTAGCCCATAGTATAGACTAATTCACTTAGTAGGAGGTGGGGGAGAAGAGAGAGAGAAAGGGAAAAATTGGGGAGCTGGAGACACCGTCGCGGCCAGAGACGGTGCGGGGTGGAGCCTCCCAGCCGATGGTGGAGGATGGCGTCGAATCACCATGCAAAGCCTCCCTCCTAAAGCACCATGAAGGAGGAGCCTTTACCCTACCATTCCCCTCCAGGTTAAACCTCTTTGGGCCAGAGCTTATTCATACTGTTGTAGATATCATTATTAACTTCATCTTTCCATTGGCGCATGAGGTGTCTCGCCTTGCAGGATGAGGGACGCTAGGCGCGGTCGGGAAACCCAACGGAAACGGCTTCCCGAACGACGGCCGAATCTCGTTGCATTCAAGCCGTCTGCTTTTCGTGACGCGAGGATTCGGGACGGCAGAAGGGCAGGAGGGTAGGTAAGTTCGCTACGGTATGAGAATATGCTGCGGTTTCATGCTGGAAAAAAAAAGAAGGTGGTGAACGGCCCCATATGATTGACCCTTGAATGACGGGGGATGCGGTTAAAGATGAGTGGACATTTGGCGGCTGAAATGCTGAAAGCACAATGGCGCCCGCATTCAGCCTGGCTACAGTGCAAAGCACCCGACGCACACATAATACTATGGGCGAAGATTATTCAGCCAACATCCAATCTAGCTTAACTAACTAACTCACTGAGAGTTAGGCGAACTTCCCCGTGGGATTTTGGCGATGCCTTTCCTTCCCTCGCTTAAGTTGCTACCTTCGGACAACGAGGGTTACCAAATAGGCAGGTCAGCCCTGCGCGGTCAGCTCCACGTTTGGGTTCAGGTTCCCGCAACGATGGACGGGCGCGGCAACGATTGGCCAGGGCGTGCGCGCACGTCCGCTCTCATAGGCTGGCGGCTTTTTCAGGGCAGGATCATGGAAAAGTGGAGCCGCACGGTGTCCTCGGGTTGGTGGTAGTTGGTTGATGATGATGATGATGATGATGATAGTAGTGGATGGTGGTGGAGGTGAAGATGGTGTGAGGCCATCCATCAGCCCAGAAGGGAGGGATGGATATTGAAGGGAGTGGAAAAAGATTTCTTGTCACCTTGGTGGCAGAATAGGATAATGAGAGAATCTGACCTGTGCTGTACTTTGTACATTGTAGTACTTAACTGACTCAAAGGACTGGATGGCCAATAAGAAGATACAGGGGCCGACCCGAATGTTAGACTATCTGTGTACAATCCATGGATAAATGACCAGTATGTATGGTTCCCCCTTTTTTCGCTGTGTTCGAACTTTTTTTTTTTTTCTTTTTCTTTTTCCCGAATTCTGCTTTTCTTTTTCCGCTGGTTTAATAAAGAAAACAGAATATTGAATTAAGTTTTTTTTTATTTATTTTTTAATTTCCCTTTTAGATTACCCAAGGGGGAAAAGGCACCAAGACCGGGCTGCGTGATGTCATTGCTCACTGCATTTCCAGCGCATCCACAAGTGGGCCACGGGACTGCGCCAAAAAAGATGCTTAACCCAGCGTTATTGATGCATCCGGTCCCCTGCTCCACAAAACAAACAATGGTACGGCTCACTATGGGTCTGCGTAGCTTGGTGGAGCTCTCCCTCCTCCTCCTTCTCCTCCTCCTCCTCTCCAGTTAGTTAGTTTTAGTTCAGTTCGGGGGATAAGAGATTGTCGGCCAACATGCATGCTTGCCACAACCGACAGGCCTGTCGTCTTCGAGAAAGTAGATAACCCCCCTTCTTCCCCCCGTCTTCTCCGCGTTGGCTCCAGTCCTGTTTTTATTTTTTCTTCTCTTTCTTGTGTCACATCACAACTCCTCCTCCTTTCGACCAGGACACATCAACAAAAGGAGCAACGCAACAGGAGTCCTCTTTTGGAGAAGTGAGCGAGTCAACTTAAGTGTTCGATCGCTCCCCAGATTCATTGACCATTGTTCCTCATCCATTGGTCATATATCTCGACAACAACAACAATACTCTTTTCGCATAGCATCACTTCACAATGGCGCCGACCTACGCTGGCCTGTCGGGCAGGAAACTGTCCCTGGCCGTCTCGACAATTGCAACGATGGGTTTCTTGCTGTTCGGTTATGATCGTCAGTCTCCCTCGCCGACCATCCCCGATCTAGCCATCCAGATCACATGCTAATCTTCAAATGTCTAGAGGGTGTCATGTCCGGTATTATCAGTGATACCGCGTTCGAAGACCTCTTCACTGCCACCAAGAACAACTCTACCATGCAGGCCTTGGTTACATCCGTTTATGAATTAGGTTAGTCGCAAATACCACCCTAACGAGTTACAATTGCGGGCCTCCAATTCTAACGCGTCTCGTCGCATAGGTTGTCTGGTGGGCGCTATGTTCGCGCTCTTCTTCGGTGACAAGACTGGCCGTAAATGGATGATCTTCTCGGGTGCCATTGTCATGATTATCGGTGTCGTCATTCAGGTCACCTCGTATGCCGGTCACATTCCTCTTCTGCAGTTCTTCATTGGTCGTGTCATCACCGGTATCGGTAACGGCATGAACACTTCCACTATCCCGACCTACCAGGCCGAGTGCTCCAAGACTAGCAACCGTGGTCTGCTCATCTGTATCGAGGGTGGTATCATTGCCATCGGTACTGCGATTGCCTACTGGATTGACTACGGTGCCCACTTCGGTAACAAGGACCTGGTGTGGCGTTTCCCCATTGCTTTCCAGATCTTCTTCGGTCTCATCATCATCGTCGGCATGTGGTTCCTTCCCGACTCCCCCCGTTACCTCATCTCCAAGGACCGCGTCCAGGAGGGTGAGTACGTGCTTGCCGCCCTGGGTGGTTGGGAGATCCACGACCACGAGACTCAGCTCCAGAAGCAGCTGGTCATTGACTCCATCAGAGCGTAAGTTTGCCCAGGAAAAGAAAGGTGGATGACGCGTGGCACAAGTCGCTAACACTCAGCTCCAGTTCGAACGCCGCTGGCAAGGACGTCGGATATCGTGATCTTCTCACTGGTGGCCGCTCCCAGCACTTCCGTCGTATGATCATCGGTTCCTCCTCGCAGATTTTCCAGCAGCTCGGTGGTTGCAACGCTGTCATCTACTACCTGCCTGTGTTGCTCCAGGATTCCCTTCACGAGACTGAGAACTTCTCCCTGGTCATTGGTGGTGTCAACATGATTGTCTACGCCATCTTTGCCACCTTCTCCTGGTTCTTCATTGAGAAGATCGGTCGTCGCAAGCTCTTCCTGGGTGGATCCTTCCTTCAGTGCATTGCCATGGTTATCACCTTTGCCTGTTTGATCCCTGGTGACCAGGAGACTGCCAAGGGTGCTGTCTTCGGTCTGTTCCTCTACATGGCCGCTTTCGGTGCCGCTTGGTTGCCTCTGCCCTGGTTGTACCCTGCTGAGCTGTCCCCCATCAAGACTCGTGCCAAGGCCAACGCTGTCTCGACCTGCAGCAACTGGCTCTTCAACTTCCTGATTGTCATGATCACCCCCGTCATGGTCTCCCACATTGGCTGGGGTACCTACCTGTTCTTCGCCGTCTTGAACGGTCTGTTCATCCCCTTCATCTGGTTCTTCTACCCTGAGACCGCCAACCGCTCTCTGGAGGAGATCGATATCATCTTCGCCAAGGGTTACACCGAGAACATCAGCTACGTGCGCGCTGCCCACGAGCTGCCCAAGCTCACCGACGACGAAGTCGAGCAGAAGGCCATCGAGTACGGCTTCGGAGGTGCCAGCGACGAGGAGAAGGTTACCACCGCCGAGGTCTCTGGCTCCAACTCCGCCCGCGAGTCGGAGTAAGGGTGAAGCATGGAATCTTTTGCATGGTCATGAATATAAAATGTTTGGAAGCATTTTCACGCTTTTTGATACCTGCTACGCGATTTTAGAGCATAGCCGGCTCTCTCTGAGACCACGGTCTAGGGAGATCTAATCGTTATTATTCCCCCCTTGCTATTTTTACTCTTCTGTTACTTAGTTTTAGTGATACCAGTGCAAAACAGGATGCCATGGGGCATCCTTGCGTGACAGAATTTAAACACTTGTGCATTCACATCACATTTTCCATACAACTTAAATAGGTCCATCTTTCTGGGCTCTTCCTAGCACTCTTCCAGACTTTCAACTTATAAACGTAGCCTAAGGCAGTTACTGGCATTCCCCAGCACACAATGTGGACTGAATCCGCAGGCAATTCCCCAAAGCCACACCCACCTTGGTCAGGCAAGTGGAGAGAGTCTACTTGCTGCCATGTGGCTGTCACACTTGCTCCACGCCTTCTATT